GAGGAAGTAAGGGCTGCTCTATCTTTCCCCTTCCTTCTATGTCATTATTTTCAGTGTAAGTGGTTAGTTGGCCAACACAGGGACTAACAGGAGTAAGATAGGGCTCCTTAGTCTTTCGGGAGTCTTACAGCGCCTCTGCCTTTTTTTTTTTTTAAGAGTTCCAAGGAAGTTCTGGTTTGAAAGGAAAGCATGGCCTCTCGGGGCTGTCAGTGCCCACCCTACCCATGGCAGAGGAAAACGCTTACCTCATGCTCGCTTCGAGTCTCACTGAGCAGCCCCGCGTCCCCATGGGTCCAGCGTAAGTTTGCGCTCAGGAGGCGTCAGGAGCGCTACACGCAAACGAGGTGGGAGGGACAATGCACACGCTCACTGCACGACGCTCAGGTGTTCACGCGCATGCTCCAGCGCCCACTGGACTTCCGGGAGGCGCTGGCAGTGGCGCCAGTGGTCAGCGTCCGTCTCCTCGCTTGGCCGTGGCCCAGCTGTGAGGTATTCGGCAAGCTACTCGCTACGCTAAGACTCCATCTCCTCATTGCAAATGAGAGCGGGTCCAACCATCTCGTGGGGTTATTGTGAGGAGTAACTGAAAGAACACGTGTAAAGCTTTTAGCCCAAGCCTTAGCACAGAGTAAATGCTTGGTAAGTGTTAGCTAGCTGTGCTGGGGTTGTTGCTGTCTTTGTATGCATTTTTGCGGTTCCGTTTATTTGAAAATCTTTATGCCTTCAAATAAGATAAAGAAGAAACCTGAGGAAGATTCATTTTGTAAGAGATAAAAACTTCCTAGTGGTCCCATAGCTAGGGGTTTAAACACGAATCCAGCAATGTCCTTCCTGCTATCACTGTTAAGTCAGTTAAGAACAGTCTTGAATGAAAAAAAATATACACGGGAAAGGTCCCTCCGAGTGTATGTAGAAGGAATAAGGGAAAGCCTTCTCTAGAGGTATATGTGTCGTTACAGGGAGCAGCTAGAGGATTGGTCTTAAGCATATGAGCCTGGGGGTCTTTTTTTTTTTTTAATGTTGCAGGCAGTAGACTCCCTGTTCCCTCCCCAGCATCCTCCTGGGTCACTGCCCATCTATGAATTCACTAGGCTAGAGTTACTCGAAGTGGAGTCCTCAGTTGCTTGCATCAGAATCACAAATGCAGAATCCTGGGCCCAATGCCAGACCTTTGAACAGAAATCCCTGGGGAAGTCCTATCCAAGAAACCGCCTTTAACATATTGCTCAAGGGTCTTCTTTTGCCACTAACTTTGAGAATGTCTGGGCAGGAGACCCTTTTTTTTCTCCCCAGTACCGTGCAGACCTGTCAACCTTTGTTCAATGTTAGAGAAATGACTGAATCCAAAGCATGAGGCAAAAGGATTTCTCCCCATCTGAGGACCCCTGGGATGATTCTATTCAGGCCTCATAGTCAGTAGGTAAGCACTGATAAGGCTGTAAATTTGTTAAAATATTAAAATTTAGTAACCCCATAGAGATTAGTAAATACCCACTGCTGTGACCTCTGTACTATCCCACTGGCCCAGCTGCCCAGGCCTCTCCCTTGGACTGCCTCAGGATCTAGCAACTAAAGGGTTAACCTCTAGTCTAATAGTGGGTCTTATCTATTCTTATTGGTCAGTGTAGGCACAAGCCAGCTCCTTATAGGTCCAACCAATGTGGTGCCTTATGAGTAAGCTTGTGCCCTGCCTGTACCCCAAGGAAGGGGGCAGGGTGGGGATGAGGAGAACCCTGGGTGTGTGGTACCCCAGCTAGTTTACTTTGACTCTGGTGTAAGAGTCCCTATCTCCATATATCCCCTAGGCCATAATGGGTGAGAGTTGGTGGGTGAGGTGGCATTCCTGGAGGTGGTGCTGGCACCCCAGCAGGCAAATGCCCCAGCTATGGCTGCCACCAGCCGAGGTACCCCTCGAGATGCTCTTGCTTGGCTACTTCTGGAAACTGCAGCCTCCATAGGACTTTGGTTCTTAGAGATCCTGTAAGACACAGGGTGAGCATGAGGCTTGCAGGAATTTGAGTCCACAAACATGAAAGCTCTGTTAGCATAGTTTGACAGATGAGAGCCTGCTGGAACAGATGGTGCATGCAGGGGTTAGTGTGAGGCTGGGAGAAGTATGAGGAAACAGATTCTCTTTTCATGTATTTGGTCAGGTTTGCTAAAATCACTGAATATCCTCCTGTCATGGCATTAGCCATGTTATTTTCATTGATAAAAATGAGGGCAAGTACTTATGCAGTATTTGTCCTGTGCCAAGCAGAAGTCTAAACTCATTAGAGTTACTGTAATTATCACCACCATTCCCATTACATCAATGAGAGCACTAAGACCCAGAGGTTATTTAAAACTCTAGTAACAGCCACAATTTGAACTCTGCCAGTCTAACACTAGGGTCCACACAAACCACGTTATCTTCTTCAATTTACATTAAAACAAATAGTGTGTGTGTGACTTAGTTGGTAACAGAGATCTGGAATATATAGAAAACTGTAAGACAATGGCTAGAACATTGTGAATGAAATTGCTGTCAGTTCAGCAGAAGCTGAGAGATGAGTCAGCACCATGAACAATATTGCTGATGGGGAGAAATTATCTGCCTGTTGAGATCCAAGTAACCTAATAATGATCAAGTTATTGGGGAAATCATTGGAAAAGTTCCATGTGTGTTCCTATGTCACTTGTGGCTCAGACAGGGCATTGTTTACCTGGTGATAGCATGTCAAACAAAAGATCAACAACAGTTTTTAAAGATTGACAACTGATTTGAATAGTATTAGAAACTGATGAACTACTTGCTTTAAAACTCATATATGTATATATGCTTCTGTTTAGAGAATACTGGAAATTAAAAGTTTTAAATTTGTATGTTTATTAACTACTTACAGGTTTTTAAATATTTTGATTATCACTTCAGCTTTGCTTATTCAATTCTCCATTATATTCCTTTGGTCCCCTCCTGTCAGCTGGGAAAACAGATAAGCTCTCAGAGATACGTGGAGCTGTATCCCCTTTCTGCTTCGAGTTTGCCTCTTGTCTGGCTCACACTTTTTCTTTGAGGGAGAGCGAGGTAGTTACTGGCTTTTTAGAAAAGGATGTCCTGGTAATTGGGTGGGAATGTGGGCAAGGAGGCTGTTCCTCAGTAGGCTGTTGCTTCCTTCCATAAAACCCAGTAATTGAGCTGTCATATTTCAAGTTTTATTGGTTAAGATTCAAGTTAGGACTGGAGCCCGTCTTTTGCAATTCCTCCAGGGCTCCAGGTAGAAGAGAACAAATGGAAAACTCAGTGATGGGTTCTGAAGAAAGCAGTGAGAAACGAGCAGTCGGCAGTCCTTGTGGTTTCAAGAAACACTGAGGGAAGAGTGGTGTCTAAACACTTAAAAACATAAAGGAAACACAAAACTCTTCCATTTAGTATTTCAAAGCCAGCTCAGAAGTATGTGACAATCCAGACAAAGTATTACAATTTCTAGCCAGTCCAGTCATGATTCTCTGGCAAACTGCACAGTCATGGTTATGATGCTGAGAGGTACTATATAAATGTCAGATGTTACATAAATGTCAGGAATGATTATTGTTTGTTAATGGGGGCTAAACTGTTCCTAAGCAAAGCTCCGACTCCTAGCCAACACATCCTTAGCAAAGGTTCTAACCACTAATAACCCATGAGAAGGGAATGCTCAGCCCTGGTTCTAGAAAGGAGCCCAGTTGGGATTTGGGGTTTGAAAACAGGGCTTGTTGTGGTGCCAGTACCACCACTTGCTCAGATGGCTTCAGGCCAGCCCCCTCACATTCTGGAGTTTGCCCTAGCTCACCTGTAAAATGAGGATAATTATAACAACTGCCTTACTTCTCCTTCTTGTGCTGGGTTGTTGTGAGAATCAAGGGATATCACGTGGGTGCAAGTGCTTTGTAAAGTGTGACCTGCTGCATGGATGACAGTCATCATCTGGGATGTCTGAGAGTAGCTAGAATTTAGCCCATGCCTTTCCTTGGAGTCTTACTTAGAGAGAATATATGAATGGAAATTAACTTGGAGATAGTGATGGTGACTTGGCTGATGCGGAAAACGCCAGGCCCCCTCTCTCACGGAGTTGTCGGGAATATACTGCAGACCAGGGGCCCGGATCCTGCATTGTGGCTCTGGCTCTACAATTTGCCAGCCTGTGAGCTTGGGAGAATTACAGATGAGGCTCTGAAAGTGATCACCAAGGGCCCTTCCGGCTCTGACGCGAAGTCTAAATTAGGCTCATCACTTGGCTCTAGCTATGATTCACCTCCCCCCCCCCATCAGGAGCAACTCTCCTTCCAGCTTTCAGACGCACGACGCAGGGGTCTTGGAAAGGGTGGGGGCAGTGTATTCCAAGTGAGTGTGCACAATAAAGAAGTATTCCCCTGGAGGTGAGGTGGAGCGCCGGCGGTGGGGGTGGTGGCGGTGAAAAGGGGTGTCGAGCGAGTGCTCTGAGAAGCCAGGATGCAGGGAACACTGTAATGAGGTCACGACTGTCGCAGGCAAAAAGGAGATGGACATCTGCTGGTGGGGGAAGGGGAAGAGTCCCGCATTTGTGCTTGTATGAAGTCTCTTACCGTACTCTTTAGCACCGCCTCCCCGCCTCTCCGCTACTCCCCATCCCCACACCTTTCAAACGCTACCAGGCCCTCCTCATGGGAGAGCCCGTGTCCCTGCCTCCTCCGTGGTCCTGTCTAAAACCATGAGGATTGTTTCCAAGCTGACTCACACCACTAATGTCAGGGAGCCGTGTCACACGGCGCTGGG